AAATTTTTAATTTTCGGAATTTAATTTTATGTAATTATTTAGGGTTTTTGTATATTTAGGATTTGAACTACATTAGATTTAGATTTAGAATTGAACCACCTAAAATTATAATTTTTTAGGATTTTTGGTTTGAACTACATTAGATTTAGAATTAAGGTATAAATTATGAATTTAATGTATAAATTATGAACTACCTTAAATTATGAACTTATGGTTCTTAATAGAATTCAAATTAATGATAGAACTATCTTAAATTATGAACCTTGAGTTCGTATAATTGAATTAGTCTAATTTTGGGGATAATATTGTTCTATTAGTGTGCTAATAAATTATAATTAATTAATGCACCCTATCAGACTTGAATGACTTTTCACCGAATCTCGTGCAATAAATGTTCAACCAATTTAAGATTTTAATATAATTCTTATCTATTTAAGTATTATATTAACAATATTTTTATCTAACATTACATACTTTATTTGTAAACTAAGTGTACCTGGGAGGACCGGTATAACCGTGAAATTTATGCAAATTGGGAGTACAAATGTCGTAAGAGACTATCTGATTCCTTCTCCTCCGCTCAAAAGATTAACAAGAAGTCTTTATGAGTTCTACCGCATTTATGGGAGGATCTGCAGAGGTGTTGGACAACCGAGAAATTCAAGAAGAAGAGTGAACTGGGAAAGAAGGTCTGAACATTTGAGAAGGGTGGCTCCTTGCACTATGTGGGTGCAAGGAGCATGGGGGCTACGAGGAGACTACCAGTAATTTCTTAAAATATTTACATCTATTTTTATCGAACTATATTTATATATGTTAATTTAATAACACGTTTTATTATATTTATAGGAAAGAAAATATGGGAGGAAGATGACTCATGATGAGTTCTTCATAGAGACTCATATCCGGAAGAAGAAGACACCGACAGATCCAACTAGATGGGTCGAGGACCGGGCGGAGACTGCATATGTAAGTTTCATAACTACTATAAATGTTTATAATATTATATAGTTAATAATTTTCTATCTTCTAAATAAAGGATCTCTACAAGATTGATGCGGAGGAGTACAGTTAGAGCTTGCCACCGAATGAGCAAGGCGAGCGACCACCCCTTTCAGACGAAGAAGCGCAGAAGATATGGTTGGATGTTGTCGGTGGTCCTAAAAAGGGGATAGCATACGGCCTTCCAGAGAAATTATTTTGGCGCTACAGGGCTGGATTGCAAGGTATAGGGACTTCCGCCCAAGGCGAGGCAATTGATAGGTCGACTATCTCGTCTATGGAACAGAAGATCGTAAAGCTGACAGCAGAGCTTGAAGAGACAAAGGCTAGAGAACAAAAGAGAGATGAACAATTTGGTACCCTTCAAGTTCAGTTAGAAAAGAGGGACGAACAATTTAATCTCCTTCAAGGTCAGCTGGCCAATCTTCTTGCTAGTGGTGCTTTTCCCATTCCCCGGTCTCGTGAGCCTTCCCCATGTGCTAATCCTTCTCGTCGTGATCCTTCGAACCATGCCGACGATGAAGGTTCTAGTAGTAAAGATGGAAATGATGTAATATAAAACACTCATTGAATGGCGTGTATTGCTAAACAAAGTATTGAACTTGTCAATATTTAGTTGAGACTAGTTTTGAATGATGATTGTATTGTTGATATTATTTTGTTATTGAACATTTGTATAGTTGTTGTTGTGGTTGGCATTGTTGTTGTGGTTGTTATTAGCGTTGTTGGTTAATTATTGTTGTTGTTGTTAGATAATGGTTGTTAGTGTTAGTTAATTATTTTTGTTAGTTAATTGTTGTTGTTTTTAGTTAGTTAATTGTTGTTGTTGATTAATTATGGTTGAATGGTAGCAATGTAATGCTGTCATTATAGGATGGATATTGGTTGCAATTGGCAGGTGGTTTAGCTTAAAAGCAGGCATTTTCTGTCCAGTTTTTACCTAGAAAACTGACCGAAATCGGTCGGAAATTATTTTTTTTGCCCAGAAATTCATAATTTTTGACCGAAATTCATAATTTTCGACCGAATTCGGTCGGAAATTTCAAATGAAATCTCCAGTTAAAATTTCCGACCGAATTCGGTCTGAAATTATGAATTTATATTTATTTTTCAAAAATAAATTAATAATTTATTACTTAAAATAAATTAATAATTTATTACAATTTATAAATAATTATTTATTTAAATAAAATTATTATTTATTTAAAATTCCGACCGATTTCGGTCGGTATTTGAATTTTTTTTTTAAAAAAATTTAATTAGTACCGACCGATTTCGGTCGGTAATTGAAGTTTGACAGTCAGTCAACGCTTTGAATAAACCGACCGATTTCGGTCAAAAAATTCCGATCGATTTCGATCGGTACACGTTAGCGACCATTATTTTTTCGACTAATTAAAAGTGGTCGGAAATTGATCGATTTTTATCAATTTCCGACCGATTTCGGTCGGTTTTGATGGTCAAATTTACACAGTTTTTTAGTAGTGATATAGGGTGACCAGAAAGTACATTTTGGTGCGGGCATAAGAAAGGACTTCAAAATCCAAAATCAATGTACTCATATTATATTTGTTTAGTATATTGGTTGGGTAATGTAACTCTCTTTTTCTTTTTTGAGCAAAAGTAATAGGTGGATTACGATCAAAGGCTAGATCAACCCTAACCTGCATATATAGTCCTTGGTTTGCATCAACCAGCCTTGCTTAGGATTAATTTCTTTTTACTAACGATGTTGAGATATACAGAAGTTGTCAACATGAATAATCAAACGCTTGGAATTAATTCGCTTATAATATTTTGTATATATATGGTGTGTATATTCTTTGCATATATATATATATATATATATATATATATATATATATATATATATCCTATGTGGAGAACTATCCTTTTAACGAAGTAATAGTTTCTCACCAAAGAAAACTTGATTATTGATCGAAAAGCTCGAACAATTATATCTAAGAACTTGAAAAGAAAAACATAAAGTCTAAATTAAAAAGATATTGCATATATAAAGCTATTAATTTTAGTTTTGATGAGGAAGAAAAATGGATAACATTAGTTTAGATAGTTTGATTTCCTACTCTCTTTCTGCGCATTCTTTCTGTAAATAAAATAATGTTGTAGTGGAGCAACAAAAAGATGACCAAGTACATGAAATCAAGATTGGAACTAGTTTGATATTACTATTTTTTTGCTAAAAAGTAGAAGATATTGCTACTTTATTTGATTAGCAACTCTTTAGTCCGTAACAGATCAAATTAAATACTGTAATTACTTACTAAAATAATACTGTTCTCTCCTAACATAGTAGGACCAACTTCACGTGAACACACTAAGCTCACTGCATGAGAAGTCAGCCATATCCATCTCTTCGTACATTTCTTTCTTTACACAAATCTTTTGAAGCATCCCCATGTTGATTAATAAACAAATACTATGAGAATAGTATAATAACAACTCAATCAGGATATAATTGCATTATTGAAGACTTTCCATATATTTCCTATATTAGTCGTGGCAAAGTTAACTCATGTTTTTTAATAACTCGCTTAATTTGATCTTATTAATTAAATTCGAAATGACCCATCAAATCTTCGGTTGTTCAAAACCGAACCGAAACCGTTAACCGAACTGAACCGATGACTTATTGGTATCGAATTATTGGGGTAATGGATGGTGAATGAATTGAGATTAATTTATAATTAACGGCTTAACGGTTTGGGGGCGGATTACTCAATTTTCTTATCGGGTAAATCGTTAACCCGTTAAGAATTTTTATATTTACACTTTTACTCATATATATATAAAGTATTATTGAAACCCCTATGTATTTATACTTTGTTTGACCAAAACAGGCTTGATGTCTATTTCTATGTGCCATAGGTACTTAAGAATGCATTACATATTAGATGGAAAAGCTGCCAAGACTTGTATCAGTTGGAGTTCTACCATCACAAAACAAACGGAAGAAGAATTCAAAGAAAAGGTTATCACTGAGGAGGTTGAAGTATGATGATCATTTCTCGGACAATTCTTTGTCATGCAACTTAGCAAGTGTGGACAAATGGTGGCCATTATATGTTCTAATACCTTTTGTTAGATGCACAGGAGGATGATTGATAAGTTTTGTGGAATTAATCAATAATCATATTATAGTGCAATGAGCTAGAAGTACTTGACTGAATTGTTTGATTTTATGTCCTTTTTAAAAATCTGCTTTCTAGAAGAACGAATGTCCTTTTTTTGTCTTGTGAAGAACGAATGTTTGATTGATTACTGAACTTCGTTAACACGTGTATGAGTAGTCCTGAAGATTCTTCAATTCAAAAATACCGTTTGGTTAGATCTTAGATGATATTAAAAATTTGGTATTGATTTGAAACTGTTTGATATTGATTGAATGATTATTCAAAAAATTACTATTTGGTTTAGCCGATAAACCACCCGATAATTGTTAATCTGATACCAATCCGTCCGTTGTCTTATTAGATGGCTAGCGGATTATTACATTTATAATCTGATAACCGTTAAGCCGAATCATTAAACGTAATTATCCGCCTGATAAGCACCCCTAATCAAACCGTTGGATTAAAGCGGGTCACATTTTGTAATCCAATGCAACAAAATGCAACTGGAACCCAAACATACATGTACATTAATTAGCTTTGAAGAACTCAAGGTAATAAATTAAGAAATATACATAGAATTTTACAATTTTTTCTCCTAAAAGTAAAAAAAGGAAGGAGGTTAAATATGAATTGGACTAGTTGAATTATGATATATTGTTTGACAACTCAGGCAAACTATAACATGGACGGGTTGGTCATATGACCTGTTTGTTAATTTGTTTCATTATAACCCGCCCATGTTTGATCCGACCTATTCATTTCTCACCTCCGTACCTATATAAATGTGTGTTGAACAACAGAAAATCATTGCTCTATGATTTGATTCCAAATCCCAACTCTTCCTAAGCTACATCATTCTCTAACATGAATTCTCAAAACTTACAAAAATACCAGTCCTTACCAAATCACAACAAAAAGAGGCTAAACCAAGAGCAAGTTAAGCTTTTAGAGTCAAGTTTCGACTCAACTAAGAAGCTCGAGCCGGAGAAAAAACTCCAACTGTCAAGAGAATTAGGGGTTCCTCCGCGTCAAATTTCCATTTGGTACCAAAACAGGAGAGCTAGATGGAAGAATCAGAATCTGGAGATTGACTATAATGCCCTTCAGCTCAAGCTTGAAACTGCATTATCTGAGAAGTTACAGTTGGAAAAAGAAACTGAACGTCTTCGAGGGGAGTTGCAAAAAGCAAACCAAATGTTAATTGAAATAAATGGAGAAAGGGCAATAAATATTCCTTTAGGTGATGTTTCACTATCTAGTTATTATGAGGAAGGAGGGAGCTCTAGCTTTCACGAAGATGTGATCAGCTATAATACTACTACATGGGTACATACTCATGAGGCTAATAATTTGCAATTTAATGAGGTTTATGCTCTAATAGGTTTAGAAGAAGGGTCCAATAACCGACATTCAATTTGGTGAAATTAGTAAAACAATTGGGAAATCAAATGAGATCGAATTTCATACTCTCACTTGTACAATGATATTTGTTAATCAAATTTACATTAATCCTATTCCTCCCCCCCCCCCCCCCCCCC